CGCCGTGCGTGCCCACCGCCTTCACAGCGCTCAGCCTCGAGGCCTCACGTCTCCACCCTGCGGCTCTCCCACCAGCTGCTCGGGCCAGGGACCGCGTCTTACCCGTCTTGGGCTCCCCAGAGTCCAGCCGAGTGTGGCCAAGAGTATATCCACCAGTTCCCTGCTGGCAGGGCTTGCTGTAAAAGGCCTAATCCATGCTACACCCACGTTGAGCAATTTAGTTCATATCTCCTGCGGCTTTGCTGCCTCTTCACCCACCTTCTCTCCTGACCCCCTTTCTCCGTCTCCCAAGGACCTGACAGGGTGAACTGTGCACCTAAAGTCGTGAACTCTGACAGCCTGTCTGTCATCTGGTAGCAAGAAAGCGTTACTGGATACATAGTAAGTCCCCTTAATGAGGAGACCTAGTAAGACCATGGCCGAGGTTTGAAACATGGAGTCAACAGTTACATCGTATCAGCTGTCTCTGAGGCCTACAGCGGCTGCTTCATAGAGGCTGTACTCTGTGTTCAGTGCGCACAGTGCCTAGCAGGAACAGATGTTGAACGAACGTCTGTCATTGTCTCTGCAAGAGCAGAGGTAAGCGCTCACCTCACCCCAGAGCATCTTTTCCTGTTAGAATCATTGATTCCATGGGCTGGGAAAAGCCCCCTTCCCAGTTGCCTGAATCCTCCCTTACAGTGTCTTCCCACCAAGCGGTGGTTTAACGCCTCGCGGTGTAACAAGGAGCTCATTACCTTTTAAGGCAGTCATTTAATCTTTGATCAGCCTTTTGGAAAATTTCTTTCTACCTTAGAAGCTAAAATCCAGCTCCCTGCATCTCCCCATCATTGGATTTTGTTTCTGCCCTGGGAATTCTTAAGTCTGACTCCAATTTATCCAAGACACGCATTACCTATCCCTTAAGCTACTCCTGATATGACATGGTCACAATCCCACTCACCAGCATGTTGAGGGATTCTCTTGGATGCATCCCAGCTTGTCCAGAGCTCTCTTAAATGTGATTATCAGGAATGAGTGGGTGGCCTGCCAAGTGCGGAGAGGAAAGAGACTGCCACCTCTTCTTAGGTCCTATGCTTGTGTTAACAAAAATTCACCATATCAAAATAGTTGCTAGGAGCAGTCACATCACATTGTTGAATCGGGTGGAGCACACTGTTGACTAAAATCCACAATATTTAAATACATGACCATCCCCAACCCTGGTCAGCTGCCAGTTTCTCTGTCTCTGCAGGCTCAGCATCTGTGAGTGCTCTCAGAGATCATGTGTAACACAGATACTTCCTCCTCCCTCTGAAGAGTCCGCCTCCCTTTCCCTGCTTTCATCATACCCTCTTCTTGTCTGACCCACCCATCTCTTTAGCTGGTTAAAAGAAGAAAGGCAATCTGCCCTTGGTTGGCTTCAAGCACCTATAAATGAGGCCGATTGTCACTGAACCTCAGAAAGTCATAAAGATCTGTGTGTAACAGAGGAGCTATTGGTGAAGTTTCCAAAGGTATACAGTTCACTTTTACTGGTGATTTAAATTATCCCTCTGAAATACCACTATTAGTCAGTGACAAGGCATGGCCGAGTTGTTATTAGCTATAATAAAGATCTCTGTTAGAACCAGTCAGGCCACTGGCTTTATCTGCTACACCCAAACACCGGAATACATAGGCAAATTCCCAGGATACCAAGCCACCAGAGTCTCCCACTCACTTAGTGGCCTTTGTTCAAAAATCTGACGTGACTCCTTTACACCATCATCAAGAATGCAAGTGCTCGTTAGAGTCATGCTTTCTAGAGTACCTCATGACATACAAGCTTTAGAACCAGGTATTGCCCAGTTAACAAGAGTGAGACTGGACAATGATACGCGGCCAGAACTTGGAACTTGAACTATTCATTGGGGTGGGAAGGCACATGGGGATGTGGACCAACTGTAGCTGCTGAGATTCAATTATATCTGGAGACACAAAGTTCCTGAAAAGTGTAGCAATAATCCACAGTGTCAGGAGGTGATCGACTTACTGGTCAACATCACGGTGTGGAGAAGGGGCATTACTCACTGACCACTGTAAAGGCACTTGGCCTATGGAGAGCTTACTTGTCTTCACTTTACAAATGAAGAAACAGACTCTGGGAGGCTGCGTGACTTGCTCCATATGTAGCCAGGGGCAGAAATAAGATTCAAACCTAAGTCTGTCTGATCTGAAGGCCTGTGTTGATTCACTACTTTGCTAACCTACACAGGCTGTGTTTGGGGGCATTAAACACCCAGAATGGCTGCATAGAGCAGCATGCAGAAATTCAGACACTCGGCAGCAGGGAGATCTGTCAGCAGCTCTCAGGACCCCCACCATGATAAAAGGGTTAGAGGAAATAGCAAAAGAAGACAAGGTCACTGCTTTTACATGGACTGGATATGGGGTAGAATATCATCAGTTTCTAAATTGCGAGTGTATAGCGGGCCTAGCCCTTAGGACCGTGAGAGACACCCAACTGTCAGAATTGGGGCACCAGATTGGAGTTCAGCTAGTAGAAGTGCTTAAATGCAAAAGATCAGAGCACTGGGCAGAGTCCCTAAAATCTTCCTGTCTGCGATATTTACAGATATGATCATCAGCATCAAAAGCCTAACAGAATCAACAAAGTATTAGAAGTAATGTTAGCTCAGCAAGGTTGCCAAGTACAAGATCAGTTTCTAAAAATCAATAGTTTTGTCTACATCAGCAGTAAGCAACTGGGAAATGTAACAGACAATAAGAAACCATTCACAATAACAATAAAGTTTAACAAACTCTAAAGCATAGTATCCAGGAATTAACCCAACAACTTGCAAGAACTTTAAGGAGAAAATTTTAAAACTCAATTTAAGGACATAAAAGATTGAATAAGTGAAGAGATATAGCATGGATAGGATGACTTTACATTGTAAAAATATCCATTTAGTCTCCAAAGTAAATGTTATCACAACCGAAATTCCAGCAGAAACTAAATTTTTTGAGAACTCAACAAACTTATAAAATATATAAGGAGAAATACATTTTAAACAGTGAAGTCAATTTTGAAAAACCAGAGGAGACCTGCCATGCCAGATATTATGTCATTGCCACATAGTAATAAAAATATTATGGTACTGGTATAGGAATACATAGAGCAAATAGGAAACAGAATGAAGAACTCGGGAGCAGACCCATGTATAAATGGGACCTCCATTTACACAAAGGTGGTACCACAGATCAATGAGAAAAATATCAATTATTTAGAAGATGGCATTGGGGAAACTGGCTTTAATTTATCAAGAAAAAATAAAATTGGGAGCCCCATGTTGTAGCATATACAAAGGTGAACTCCAGATAAATGGAAGACCTACATATGATACAAAAGAAAATGCAGGAGACTATCACTATAATGTGGGTTAGGAATTTACTTCGTAAAACAGGTTTGCAAAAGCACAATCCTTGAAGCAAAAAAAATTGTAGGACTTGACTGCATCACAATTACGGGTTCTCTTAAGAATACCATAGAAAAAATTAACAGATGGCTAACAAATTGGAAGAAGACATGTGGTATGTTCAAAAGCAACTAGGGATTAATATCTGAAATGCATGAGGAACTTTTCACAAATCAAAAAGAAGTCAATATAAAATATTTTTTAAAGCCAATATAAAAATGCAAAAAGTATAAGAATAGGCAATTCACAGAAGGAAAAGCCAGAATGGCAAGTAAGCATTAAAGAGATGCTCAACCCCACTCGTAATCAGAGAGTGGGAATATAAAGAGTGTGACACACCCCATAGCTACCAATATGCTGGTCTATGTTTTAAAACCAGCTCTCCAGGGAAGGAAAAGTCCTAATGTACAGTGTTTGCCAATTTCCTTGGTGCAAATACTCTGGGTACTGCCAGTTTCCAGCTACCAGTGTAGTTCGAGGTCACCAAAGAAGTTGGGAAAAAGTGTGCTTTATCAGCTCTCATGAACTGTTTTCAACACACCACTGCTTTACCCACCAGCATGGCAAAAATCAGAAAGATAATCCTAAATATTGGCAAAGATGTGGGGAAAGATCCACTGCTGATGGGAATTTAAACTGGTAAATATATTCTGCAGATCAACCTGGCAGTGTTTAGTGAAAAAAATTAGCAGTGTGATTTATGACTCAGCAATCACCCTCCTGGATATGCCTCAGAGAAACCCTTACAATGGTTCTATAAGCACTTTCTTCATGCAGTTTCCAGGAAGTCAGTTTCTTGCTGGAACTCGGGAGGTGGAAGTTGCAGTGAGCTGAGATCATGCCACGGCACTCCAGCCTAGGAGACAGAGTGAGACTCCATCTCAAATAATAATAATAAATAAACAAATATCATCTCTGTTTTCATGATTCCCAAATTTCTATCTCCAGCCCTGAACCTCAGATGTATATCCAACTGCCTACTCAACATCCATTCTACAGCATACATTACATATCACAAATAGAACATGTTCAAAATGGAATCCTTCTCCATAACCTTCCCTATGTCAGTAAATGGCAACTATTCTTCTTTTTACTCACTGGAGTCATCCTTTCTTCCTATCATATTTCTGGATTCTCCAAACCAAACTCCCTGTCTTCATTCTTCAAAAAGTTTATGATATCATTTATTGAGTAAATTCACGTACCATAGAAATCCTTACAAATCAGTAGCCACTGGAGACCCCAGGAACCTCCTACTGCTTCTACCTGGGCTTGCCCTCCTCCAATCTGTCTCCTTTGTCAAGGTTGCAGGTGGGGACTGCCTGCTGAAGTAGACCACAAACTGAAGAGGACTCCACTGAGCCACACGAGCCTTATTATCTGAATGGGGTTTCGCGTTCATGGTTGTACATTAGAATCACCTAGATACCTTTTGCAACATTAAACCCTAAAGACCCCCTCACATATTTCAATTCAATTGACCTAGCTTAGTTTCATGCTATTCTATGTTTATTCTTTTTTTTTTTTTGAGACAGAATCTTGTTCTGTCACCCAGGCTGGAATGCAGTGGCACAATCTCAGCTCACTGCAACCTCCGCCTCCTCGGTTCAAGCGAATCTCCTGCCTCAGCCTCCTGAGTAACTGGGATTACAGATGCACACCACCATGGCTGGCTAATTTTTGTATTTTTAGTAGAGACGTGGTTTCACCATGACAGCCATGCTGGTCTTGAACTCCTGACCTCAAGTGATCCGCCCACCTCAGCCTCCCAAAGTGCTGGATTACAGGCATGAGCTATCAGGCCTGGCCCTATTCCATAAATTTATTTTCCCTTTTCTTAGCCCTACTTCCTGAGAAGATACTAACAAAGGAATTTGCATGTTCCTACATGGGGCCCTGCTCCCCAGACCCTCCAGTTGCTGCCACTCGCAGACATCACATGATGCAAAGTCTTCTTTATAATTACAGCTAGATTGGAGGCATATGTTCTAGTGCTCTATAACTCTGTAGGATAACTATAGTTAACAATAATATATTATATGGTTTCAAATAGCTACAAGAAGGATATTGAATGTTCTCAACACAAAGAAACAGTGAATGAGATGATGGATATGCTAATGACTGTGATATGATCACTATACATTATATGTGTTGCAACATCACTGTGTACCTCATGAATATATGCAATTATTATGTATTAATTTTTAACTTTTTTAAAAATAAAGTAAGTCTTCTTAAAGCCTACATAAAGGAAGATGGAATGAAAGGAATGTTACGGCATCAGGATGAAAACTGCCACTGTGGCACAAGAACTAAGTTTTGGATACCAGCCACTCCCCCAAATTTTGGACCAATAAGACACCTCTAGAAGCATCTTTGGCACAAAAATAGCATAAGCCAGTTACCATAAGGATGTCAGTCCAACAATCTTCCCAGCACCCACCACTGAAACTGACTCTGACCAAGCCTCTAGAAATAACTATTATTTTATAGAAAATGTAAGCATAATAAAAATCATTTTTTAAAAACACCATGAGAATGCAATCGTCCAAGGCCAAAATGTAGGAATTTCTAACAGAGCAAATAGCCCAATTCTGACAACCAAAAAGTAGCTGAGGGGAATGGTTATAGACCGGAAGAGACATGAGAGCTCCATCCACAGCCTGCAATGTCCAGACTTCCTTTGGATCTGGATTCAGACAAACAAATGTGAAAATATTTCTGAGACAAATGGGGGAAATTTAACCTGGACTGGATTTTAAATTATATTTTACAATTGTGTTCATTTTGGGAGGTATGATGATCATGACATGATGGTCATGTTTCTA